CACTGGGAAGGTCACAGGTAGTGAGCATAGTTTAGATCTTTTCTCCAGGCTATACCGGCGTATTGGGTAATGAATAGGCAGACAGATTGGCTGGATCTGCCCCACTGGGTGGTGAACTAATACATGACAAGGTATATGTGGTTAAGGCCCTTTGGGAACAAGCAACGGAATCAGTAGAGAAATAAGATTATTATAGCCTTGAGAGAATGACTCACCTGGGTGTAACTAGAGGGTCTGGCCGGCTCACTACACTCAGAGAAAAGGCATGACGGACATATAACCAGATAGTGACCGGTACCATAAGTATTAGAACTCTGCGTTGGCTGCTGAAGATGAGGACGGAGCACGCATGGGAATGCCCCGAGTGCTGTGATGTCAATTCTTCACTCAACTTAACTCAACTCATTCATGAAAGTCTCATAAACTTTGTTTTGTGTAAATTACTTATTCCCTGTGCAGATTAACGTCTGGTAACCGCTGTTCTGTGTAAATTACTTATTCCCTGTGCAGATTAACGTCTGGTAACCGCTGTTCTGGGTAAATTACTTATTCCCTGTGCAGATTAACGTCCGGTAACTGCTGTACTGGGTAAATTGCTTATTCCCTGTGCAGATTAACGTCTGGTAACCGCTGTTCTGTGTAAATTACTTATTCCCTGTGCAGATTAACGTCCGGTAACTGCTGTACTGGGTAAATTGCTTATTCCTTGTGCAGATTAACGTCTGGTAACCGCTGTTCTGTGTAAATTACTTATCCCCTTCCTTGTGCAGATTAACGTCTGGTAACCGCTGTTCTGTGTAAATTACTTATCCCCTTCCGTGTGCAGATTAACGTCTGGTAACCGCTGTTCGTGTAAATACTTATCCCCTTCCTTGTGCAGATTAACGTCTGGTAACCGCTGTTCTGTGTAAATTACTTATCCCCTCCTTGTGCAGATTAACGTCTGGTAAACCGCTGTTCTGTGTAAATTACTTATCCCCTTCTTGTGCAGATTGCGTCTGGTAACCGCTGTTCTGTGTAAATTACTTATCCCCTTCCTTGTGCAGATTAACGTCTGGTAACCGCTGTTCTGTGTAAATTACTTATCCCCTTCCTTGTGCAGATTAACGTCTGGTAACCGCTGTTCTGTGTAAATTACTTATCCCCTTCCTTGTGCAGATTGCGTCTGGTAACCGCTGTTCTGTGTAAATTACTTATCCCCTTCCTTGTGCAGATTGCGTCTGGTAACCGCTGTTCTGGGTAAATTACTATTTATCCCCTGTGCAGCTTAACGTCTGATAACCGCTGTTCAATGTAAATTACTTATTCCCTTCTTCTTCTTCTTCTTCAGCGTTCGACATCAGTCATGCTAAACATTGATTCCCGTCTGGGTCACAAATAGGATTGTGCGTTTAAGGTCGCCACCGGTCCCCCATAGCTTCTCTTTCAATGTGGCTCCCCTGGGCCAGATCCACAGTCTTTGCTGGGAGAGGTTAGGGCAGTACTTCAGTATGTGCCCAGGGGTCTGTCTTTCTGCTCCACAATCACAGGCAGCAGATTCTTTTATGCCTATCCTGTACAGGTGTGCTCGAAGACCACAGTGTCCAGTCAGTCCTTGGTGTAACTGTTGAGTTTGTCTATGGCTGGTCTGTAATCTCATTCTACCTTCTCCACTCCCGCTTGAAAGACTGCTTTAGGGCTGTTTTGGTTCTATGGATAAAGGTTGTGGAAGACTTTTTCCCTTCTGCTCTCTCATTTCTTGAATCTTGGTTGACCAGTTCTGCTTCTTGTAGAGTCTTCTTCTTCTTAGATCTGCAATTAGTTTTCTTGTTTTCTGCTTGCGTTTGGAGACATCAAGTCACTAAGTATAACAATTGAGTCCCCTCTGGGTCACAAATAGAGATTGTTGGACGCAGAAAGGAGGGCAGTTGCCCTCAGCTCTTAAAGTTAGTGCAGATGTCACATGCTGGTAGAGAGAGAGTTACTGTTTAGGAGAGAGAGGAGAGAGAGGAGTTTCTGCTCTACCGCTAGGGGGTTTAATGTATATTCCACAACTCCCCCTTTCTGACTGCTTCTGTAGCAGAGCCGTCGGTGAAAACCTGAGTCCAAGTGGTGTTTGGATACTTCTCATCAAGCATAGCAAGAGCCAGGGTTCTCTGTTGTGTCTCCGTCTGGGCATTTTTTGAAGTCATCTCTGGTACCTTTAGGACTACATTTGCCTTCTCTGGCTTGCTTGTCCATGGATCTGGCCTGAGTTTTTCGTACAGTGCTACATCTCTAATTCCCTGTACAGATCAAAGTCAGGTAACCGCTATTTTGTGTAAGTGACGATATGTTGTGCACAGATCAAAGTCAGGTAACCGCTATTTTGTTTAAGTGACGATATGTTGTGCACAGATCAAAGTCAGGTAACAGCTGTTCTGTGTAAATGACCGATATGTTGTGCACAGATCAAAGTCAGGTAACCGCTGTTCTGTGTAAACGAGCGAATCGCTGTGCATATGAAAGTCTGGTACTAATCTATGTAAAACTGTCATTTCTGCCTTCATTTATTACCTTTGCGGCTTGGGTCGGGTGGGTCAGAAAAGCCAGGGCAGGGGTGTCTTTGACCCTGGGGGTTTCAGGCGGCGTGGCTAGTGCTGTAGCCACGGACTGTGCTGGTTAGGATGCTGTCCTGTGTAAATAACCAGCACTGTGTACATTAAAATCTGGTAACCGTTGTTTTGTGTAAATGACCGATTCCTGGTACGTAAATGTCACTGGTTTATATCTGTTGCGACGTAATCGGCCACCCATTTCACGTCGACCTTCACAGTCTGCAAGGTCGTGAAACCAGAGATGTTTACACTAACAACTAGAAAGGGGACAACCATGTATTCACACACGTAGGCATTCTCGCACGCACACACTCACACATATAGAACAACCATGTACACACACACATACATATATATATAAAACAACCCATTTTTTACACACACACATATATGTATTTGGGTGTGGGTCACACGCACTGCACGGTACGTTAAGCAGGATAAATCTGTGGGAGGGAATGTTATATGATTGTAAAGACCTTGTTGTCACACTTGATTAGCAAGCAGTCTGCCTGCTTGTACCAGTATGTATGTGGGTGCTGCACTTCTCTATAATAAGGTAGACGCTGTGAAGGCTTTTCTGGATCAGGAGGATGCTGCAGCCAGCAGGGTGGAATGTGTACCTGGCAGTCTGGTATAGCCGCGCTGCCACAGAGAACACGAGCCGCTTAAACCGGCTGGGGTTCAACCCTTGGGACAGTGGGGGTGGGTAATGGAGCTTATCTTCTACTTCTGCCTTTCTAGCCCCCCAATGAAGCATAGGCCCTCAACCAACTCACGCCAGGTCGTTCTCTCTTTTGCTATCGCATGCAGCTCTCTCCATACCCTCCCCCCCCCCCTTTTCCATCTTTCTATTTCTCAGCCCTCTTCTCCATGTGTGTTTTGGCCTTCCTTTGTCCCTCTGCCCCTGTTGGTTCCAATGCAAAGAGATTCTAGTTATACTGTTATCCGGTTTTCTCAGTGTCTAGTGTCTTTTCTCCACCCCTTGGCCCGCTGTAGCTTGCTTAGTTCTCTCCCAGAGCTCTACATTAGTGATTCTATCATACCATTTTATTTCCTCTATTCTGCGCAGGCACCATTTAATGAATGTCTGTAGTTTATAAGTATATGCTTTAGTTGTTTTACATGTTTCCGCCCCATACAAAAGTACTGATTGAGCTTAAGCTTTGTTTAATTGTGTAACAGTAATAATGATTATTAGTGTTCGTATTATTATTTGCTGAATGACAAATAAAATATCATATATGTGAAATAGAATGAAATGTATAAACAGATGTTTTAAAAGAGAACTACAGTATATGGTGGTTGACGAGTGGGTGGGGGGGGGGGGGGGGGGGGGGGAGAATGCAGCCCCCCCCCCCCCCCCCGAAAAAAATTGGGGTGCTCACAAAGCTTGAGCCACCCAGCTTCTGGCATCTGTGGTCAGGTAGGCACCTGGGAGTGAATAAAGGCTGAACGATGACCAGCTTATAAGGGAAAAATAAAGTAAAGGTCCCTTTTCCACGCCTTTAGGTGTATTGAGCATATAGGGCTAAATCTATATTTTATAGACCAATCGGCACTTGGTGGCTGATGTGTTCAGCATTACATCGACCGCCTTTACTTCCCAGGACTGCACCTGGTACCCACTCAAGGTTGGGTCGACCTGGGAGTCATGGTCATTTTTTAAGGGGGGGGGGGAAGCCTGGTTCCGTGAGGACGCGAACCCACGACCTTACGATCCGCAGGCGGGCGTCTAGCCGCCAACGCCACGGCGACTCCAATAATGTAAATGATAGCGGATTTGTAATCAAGGCGCTGCTAGAACTATCGTTAGTGAAGTTTTTGTTGCCTACTAAAGAAGGAAGTGAGTGAGAGAGAGAAAGAGTTGGCGAACGCAAGAAAGAGAGACAGAGAGAGAGAGAGAGAGAGAGAGAGAGAGAGAGAGAGAGAGAGAGAGAGAGAGAGAGAGAGAGAGAATATCGACATTAAGAAGAAGTGAGAATGCAACGATGAGGAAGGAAAAGAGAAAGAGGGGAATGAGAAGACGTCCCTGTGTGGGTTTCAGGATCCTATTATTGGGGGAGGGGGGGGGGGAGAATAGACCCACTGCCCCCTGACAAGCGCGTCAGCCGAAGAACCAACAGCCTGCATACGTTTAAGACAGATCTGTAAACTATGTGTGCAGGCAAAAATCCTGTTTGGGAACAAGACTAAAGTCCAGAAGTGGATACACCAGAACTTTCCGCCGTAGTTTACAGCCGGTGAACGCGAAGAAGAAGAAGAAGAAGAAGAAGAAGACAGGATAATAGAACGATCAAGAGGAAAAAGAAAAGGAGGAAAACAAAGAAAGTCACACAAATCTGTCCTTCACCCCTATCACAAATAACTCCCGCTTACTTGTTTCTACCTACATCAAATCATGTTCTACATTTTCCCATGTTTCAGAGTAGTCAAAAAGATCAAATTTGGGCCAGAAATATTTTACGGCAACAAACCAGAGTCGGTACCGTATGTAGAGCTACTACCGCTGAGCGATGACATTGTGGCCAGCTATACCGGGCCTGGCTCGGGCCTTGCCTACGCTGAAGGTTACACGGACAACGGTAAGGTCTTGATTTACTTGTTGTGTGGTTTATTGTCATTCAGTGGACAGTACAAGATAATTGATCTGCCCCACAAGGCCGTTTCCATTGAGTAGTATTTTGTAAAGGATGCTAGTCCCAGATGTATGGAAACCAATCAGACGGGTCTTATGTGTGTGTGTGTGTGTGAGTGGGTGGATGGATGTGTGGATGGATGCATGCATGGATGGATGCATGGATGGATGCATGGATGGATGCATGGATGGATGCATGCATGGATGAATGGATGCATGCATGGATGCTTGTGTATGTATGTATGCTTGTGTATGTATGTATGCTTGTGTATGTATGTATGTATGTATGTATGTATGCTTGTGTATGTGTGTATGTAGGTGTGTATGTATATACATGTATATGTATATATGTGTTTATGCTTGTGTTTGTATATACATGTGTATGTATGTATGTATGCTTGTGTATGTGTGTATGTATGTATGCTTGTGTATGTGTGTATGTAGGTGTGTATGCTTGTGTATGTATATACATGTGTATGTATATATGTGTTTATGCTTGTGTATGTGTGTATGTAGGTGTGTATGCTTGTGTATGTATATACATGTGTATGTATATATGTGTTTATGCTTGTGTATGCTTGTGTTTGTATATACATGTGTATGTATATATGTGTTTATGCTTGTGTTTGTATATACATGTGTATGTATGAATGCATATGTGTATATATATGTGTGTGTGTGTATAATAATACATACTGCAACCCACCATAGTTTCCAGTAGAGCTGCAGTTCATTGTCAATGAAAGCAGTAGTCAGGACAAACTAGCAGTTGCACATGCAGTATTGCTTAAGGCACACTGCCAGTTCTGATGTAAACTGACCACAGGTCATTTTATGAATACACAATTCACAGCATACAATAGTTTTGGTATTTTACCATTAACTTTCAATTACAGCAGCAGATCTTTGATTTCCATGTAAATTTATAATTCTTTTTACAGAGCATTATACACACTTAGTGGCTGGAGTCAAGGACTGGACTCTGAGAGAAGAGCAAGCATATGGTGCCTCCATCTCGTTGTATGAACAGCATCCTATAAGTGGGAGAATCTCAGGTTTGTATAGTCCAAATTTATTGTTTTCGTTTCTTCTTCTTCTTTTGTTCGCCTGAAATAAGCTGTCTATATCAGCAGTTTTGTCTCTTGTATCAATTTCACTGTCGTTGTTAGTTCATTCAGTGGTCCTTAGAGTTTATTTTCCACTGTTCTTTCTGGCCAAACGGTTTGCCTTAATGTTTCAAATTTGGTACAGTCCTGGAGTACATGCTCTGCTGTCTGGGGCATCTTTCCACAGGTGCACATGGCTGATACACCTATCTTGAATTTTATGTACATGTGGTTACGTAATCGGTTGTGCCCTGTTCTGAGGTGGAGGATAATGACTTGTTCTGGTCTGTCCATAATAAAATAGTCGTCTTGTGCTGGGGCTGGTTTTTCCTGATTGATTTCATGATTCTGTTCTTTTGGTGGTATGTGACTGGTACATCCGGCTGCACTTTTTTCGCACCTTTCCCTGCCAGTTGATCAGCTGTCTCATTTCCAGGTACTCCACAATAAGACGGTATCCACTGCATTACGACTCTTCACTGAAGGCTGAGTTGTGTCAGCAGTGTTTGCAATTCTGGTAGTTTCCTAGACTGGAGTGCTTCAAGAATTTGTTTTCATTATTTTACAGTTCTTTGATTGCAATAAAACATTTATGATGGTTTGTATTGATGAATAATTTAGTAATTTTGTAGGGAGATATTTTTTCATGTGTCTTCTTCTTTAACCTAGTTACGGGGACTTTTTTATTCTGGTTCTTACTGCTGTGCATGATGGAAGAGGCACAAAACACAAAAGGTCTAGAAAGGACAACCTCGATTGGAAAAAACCCAAACTTAAGGGGGATCTGCATGCTGATGGGCTGAATGGCTGTAGGATAGATATTCACACGCATGAAACATCTGGTTAGCGGGAAGGGCAGCACCAGGCATATGACTTCCTCAGTACATCCCCCTGCCTCTTCTATAGCAAGCAAGCAATACTATTGTGTTTTGACCTTTTACTTCCTGGTATGAAAGTATTTCTTCTATCATAACTCTTATTGTTCTGGCTTTAAAGGTATCAGGTTAAACAGCCGGCTTGTCCTACTTAGAATAAATCGCATCTCTTTCATGGTGTAAATCTCGTACTACTATCTCAAAGCCCTGAGAACTGTCCTTTTCTAAACCACCTACTGCTTGAATTAAACTCTGGTAAATGCTGAAGATTGCTTTGTGAGATCCATTCACCAGCCTCTTAGCCACAGAGTCAACGTTTTCTTGCTGTAGCTAGTTTGATTTCATCTTGTTGTCATTCTTCTTTTGTCATTTTGCTTATGGTCTGTGTTGCTAAGAAAGAGAAACAAACTGACCAGGTAGGGATCTTTTCTCTTTGTCACAATCTTCCTTCTAGACCAGTGGTTCTCAACCGTCCTAATGCTGCAACCCTTAAATACAGTTCCTCATGTTGTGGCAACCCCCAACCACTCAATTATTTTCATTGCTACTTTATAACTTTAATGAATATATGTTTTCCGACGGTCTTAGGCGACCCCTGTAAAAGGGTTATTCGACCCCCAGAAGGGACATGACCCACAGGTTGAGAACCGCTGTTATAGACAGACACCAACGGGGTGGTAGAATGGTTGATTCACTATAAATTATCATTTATATATTCTGAGTTATAAATAAGAAGCACAGATAGCCTGAGAGATAGAGAAATTAAGGTGGTATGAAACAGAGATAGAGAGTTAGTAGGAAAGAGTGATAGCAAGGTTGAAGGATATTCTAGAGCAGTGTTCTTCAACCTTTTACTCCACAACCCACCAAAACAGGGGAAAATTGTACCGCAGCCCACCAAAACAGGGGAAATTGTACCGCAGCCCACCAAAACAGGGGAAATTGTACTGCAGCCCACCAGAACAGGGAATATTGTACCACAGCCCACCAAAACAGGGGAAATTGTACTGCAGCCCACCAGAACAGGGGAAATTGTACAGCGTCCCACCAAAACGAGGGCAGTTGTATCGCGGCCCATCTGACAGCTAATCAAACAGTAACAAAAACAAACGTAGAAAGCAGTTTTTTCATTAAACCAGATTGTCACAACTGTGCAATTTTCAGCTGATATGACATCTTTTGATTCTCATCCCTGGGGTGATAATCTTGCAGTGGTGGATTGGAAAGAAAGTAGCAGAGAGCATGCTACGGGGGGAAGGTGGCGGGGGCCAACAGGCATGAAGGTGGGCACAAGATATAAGAGGCACCTTTGGTGGGTATGGGTGATGTGGTCAGCATCACCTCGGGCGCCTTTACTTCCCAGGACTTTACCTGGTACCCATTTAAGACTGGGTCGACCTGAGAGCCAAGGTCATTTTTTTGAAATAAGTTAAGGCTCATACCCATGACCTTCATATACATGGCAAGCATCTAGTCGCTACACCACGGTGACTCCCAACAGAGACATAGGCAAAATTAGTCAAAGAAATGTGTTTAAATAGTTTCAGGTGAACAGATTGTTAGTAAAAGATGTGTTTATAAATAAATATATATATATATGTTTCTATATTTATGCACTCGCACATACACAGTTAATACGTGCACACACGGACACACACACATATACATATATATATATATATATATATATATATATATATATATATATATATATATATATATATATATATATATATATATATATATATATATATATATATATATGTCTATATTTTTGCACACACACATATTCAGTTACACACTCACATATATATATAATTTCAGGAGAACCCATTGCTGATAGCTTTGCCTTATGTGTTCGTCGGAATAACGCCATCTTAATGATGGCGGATGGTGTTAACTGGGGCGAGAAGTCACGGCTGGCTGCTAGGTGCGCCCTCTACGGCAGCATGAAGTACCTCAACTATACCATTTTTGACCGGAGACATAAGCCAGAAAACACACAGGTATATTGGGGATGTCCGGGAAAGGAACTGCTGTGTTGTAGTTCTTTTCTTCCTTCATGACTTTCTGATTTACTAACTTAAGTGATGATCTTTCTGTCTGTTTTTTTACAAGTCATCGCTATACCAGCATGAACATGGAGATAGAGGCAGTCACTGCAGCTCTCTAGTGGATAGCTGACAAGGGAGTTACCAGAGGAATTAAGTTTCTGATTGTCGGTACACAGGAAGATTCAAAATGGACATATATGGAATGAGTGGATACCATGCATAAGAATTATAAGAACTTATAGGGATATACTGTCTGGAATCTGCTGGAGTGCAAGTCAGTTAAAGATTATGTTTCTAGCTACAAAAGGTATAGCTACAGGAAGACTTTTTTTTTTTAGACAAAGGAGACATTCTGAAAACCATTTGTGAACAAGGGCTGACAGAAGTAACATGTTTAAGACTATGTGAACCTCGAATAAGGAGACGATCCAGCAAGGAGGGACATATGAGAAGAAGAGTACAATGTGTGTATAACCGGTGTGATATGAAAACATTAGCATCTACACCTTAAGAGATTTACTGCTGGAGACGGAGCATCTGTGGGTATGTCTGGTGAGCTTTCATGTCCATTCTTAAATCGGTAAATCATGATTTACTAACGAACCTCATTTTGTTCTTGTCTCCTTTCTTCAATTCATCTATACTTTGTTTTGTTTTTTACTGTTGTCATTTTACAGAGGAGTGATTAGGACGTACGGCTCTCATGCATGAGACTCAACAAGAGGATGGACATTTTTTTCTTCTGTCAATATTTTCCCCAAAAATAAATATCATATTCTGCATAGTTTGTGGCAACTGCACTAGCTAAGGCTGAGGGCTTCTACATAACCCTCGTTTTCACTACCTAAGCTACTGAGTTAAGTGTTTGGTTCAGCACTGTGAACTTTAAAAAAAAAATGTACAATGCTTTCATTTGTGCTGCAGTTTGTGTTGTGGTATTCAGTGTGGCTGAAAGCCAGTTTACTTGTGGGATGGTGAAATACCTTATGTGATAAGTTCACATGTGTCTGGCTAGCTAGCTTTCCGTGACCAACTACTTCTATTAACGACACATCACATTTGATTTCTGGTAATGACAGTTGGCTTTGGCACCTCTAGCAATTGCCTTATGCATTTACTGCGTGCACAGATTTCTGTATTGTGCTAGACTGATTGTTTGTTCATCAGCTTTTCATATGGGACTGTGAGAGACATTTCATTTGATTGTCGCTGGCACAGGAGCAGAGCGTCTTTGGGGTGACCAGACTGACTGAAGTCAAAACGCCGACTACTACTACTGCATCACCCTCAAAAGGGGTACTATATGTTGATGTTTCTCTCACAACTCATACTACTTTCTTTTTTTTTATGTTTCCTGCGACCTATCGGTCGGTGTCACCTATGTTGGCCCTCATGCTACTTTGTAACCATAGAAGGCCCTATTATAAATATTTTATATGGTTAAACATTGGATCTTTCAAGATGTAGCAGCTAGGCGCTTGCCTGCGTATCTGAGGGTCATGAGTTCAAATTCACTGGGGGGGGGGGGGGGGGGGGGGGTTAAATTTGAACATGTGCTCAGCTCCCAGGTTGATCCAACCTTAAACAAGTACCAGGAAAGTCCTGGGAAGTAAAGGCATCCAGAGTGATGTTGCCACATCACCTTTCAAGGGCAGATGTCTTTTGGGGCATTGTCTAAAGGAAAGGCGATGATCAAGGGAGTTTTGGAAATTGTTTAGGAAGGACAGGCGATAACCAAGGGCATTCATTAGAAAGGAAAGGTGATGGTCAAATAGAGTTCTGGAAATTGCCTAGGAAGGAAAGACGATGGTCAAGCGAGTTTGGGTAATCATCCAGGAAGGAAAGGTGATGGTCAAGTGAGTTTGGGTAATCATCCAGGAAGGAAAGGTGATGGTCAAGCGAGTTTGGGTAATCATCCAGGAAGGAAAGGTGATGGTCAAGCAAGTTTGGGTAATCATCCAGGAAGGAAAGGTGATGGTCAAGCGAGTTTGGGTAATCATCCAGGAAGGAAAGGTGATGGTCAAGCGAGTTTGGGTAATCATCCAGGAAGGAAAGGTGATGGTCGAGCGAGTTTGGGTAATCATCCAGGAAGGAAAGGTGATGGTCAAGCGAGTTTGGGTAATCATCCAGGAAGGAAAGGTGATGGTCAAGCGAGTTTGGGTAATCATCCAGGAAGGAAAGACGATGGTCAAGCGAGTTTGGGTAATCATCCAGGAAGGAAAGGTGATGGTCAAGCAAGTTTGGGTAATCATCCAGGAAGGAAAGGTGATGGTCAAGCGAGTTTGGGTAATCATCCAGGAAGGAAAGGTGATGGTCAGGGAAGCTCTGGGATTTGTCTAGGAAGGTTGTGATGGTCAAAGTAGTTCTAGAAAGTGTCCAGAAAGGAAAGTTGATGGTCAGGAAGGAAACGCATTGGCAATGGAAACTGGCTTTTCCATCTGTTGTTTGGCCTAGAAAATGCGACGATTTGAAATTTCACATATTAGCATCAGTGTTAGCTGTGGGACTGCCGTACGTAACTGGAGGTTCTGGGATCAGGCCCCTGTAAAGGCTGGATTTTTTCCACGTGGACTTCTAGTAATTTCCCCTGATTTCTAGGTAGTTAGATACTTGCCCATGTGTATTGTTGCATGTGTTAAAAATCCCTTGGCAGTTAAAAATTAAAAAAAAAGAGTAGCCTAACAGCACTGCCGGGGCAGAATTTTGAGTTAAAAATCGACCCCAAAGTATTTAAGGATACTCGCCGATGCTATGGAGTTTGTGCACTGCGCTGAGATTTTTGGGACTCAGGCTTGAGTTAGAATACAGCACTTATGGGTTACTACCTTTGTAGCATGATGTTGATCCATTGTTTAAACCATCAAACTCTTTCAGGGCCAAGCAACACATGCATTTATTGATCGTTATTTATGTGATCCTCTTGCTTCTCATTCACTTCCTGTTTTATCTCTTCTGGTATCAAGGGTACTATAATGTTTTGCTTCTTGTTCTTATGGTTGGTCGACCATGAACACATTGTGCTCTTGTAGTAATCTTTCCAACGTTGTCTACCTCGTGCTGTATGACTGTCATCTTTTAGATTTCGACTTATAAGGTATGGCTTTATAAGCCATTATTAGTGGGCAGACCATTTGATTTGCTATCTTTGCATGTAATTTAGAACTGGTTCTATGCTAACTTACTCTAATGATGTCATTCCTGATTTTATCTCCTCTGGTTACTCCTACTACCCTTCTCAGACATCTCATTTCCATGCATACTGTCTTTTATTGTTTATTGTGAGTGACCATGTCTGGCATGTGATTTATTTATGGGTTTTACTTTTCAACCAACTGTGCAGTAGTTGTTAATTTAACTTTTCTGCTTTATTGTGTTATTACTTTGGATCTACTCATCTATAAGATAAAGTAATGATTTTGTATGACATAGCGAGTTAATTGATCACCTATCTAGTACCCAAAGATTTAAAGTTAACACATGTCGCAGATTTACATAATGCGTCCAAGAATTGACCATTTTAAGTGCTAGAGTTATTTGTGTATTCACTGTGGCAGTCTTCTAATACTGTATATTTCATATTGCATGGTACAGGATGTTGTGCGGTTGCTGAGGAAAGCCCTGGATGAAGCTCACAGAGCCATCATATCCAAGGAAGCCGGCCTCACAACTCTCTGCCTTTGTATGGTCTGTGAAGTGGCCAATTCTGACCAGCATGCCGTCTGCTGTGTGAACGTCGGTGACAGCCTTGCATTTGTCTACTCAGCCAATAACGCTATAAGAGAAGTGACTGTTGGTTCTCATGACGTGGGCAGTGAGAGGGACATCCGGGACGCTGGTGGGGCTCTGGGGCCTGTTGACGGTGTAAACCCAGAGCTGCACAATTTGACCTGCTCTGTGACCTTTTGCCACAAGGGAGACATGGTGTTTTTGACAACTGACGGCATCTCTGACAACTTTGATCCAGTTGTGACGAAAATAGCTCTGCCTACGAGAGCAAATGACTCCAATTTTAATACTAAGGAATGCATGACATCTAACAGTAATCTAGTCATTAAGCCAGAAATGACTCCAAAAGAAAGACACACATATGCTATGAAGGAAATGGAGAAGGTTGTCCACGAATTTGAGCTGAGCACAGAAGACAGATGTTCGGCCCAGGCGTTTTGCGGTGCTTTGCTGCAGCATGTCTTGACGCTAACAGACACGAAAAGGAAAATTGCTGAGAACCCGGCTATTTATGCTAAACATAAAACTACAAAACAGGAACGCAAAAGAAGAGACTCAGAAATTGTCGAAAAAATGTCAAAAGCCCCGGGTAAACTAGACCATGCTTCTGTAATCGCTGTCGAGGTGGGTGCATTTTTAAGACAGGGTGGTCAGTCTCAAATGAAAGAAGCAAATAATGCAGCAGTCACATCATCTCTTACGGGGTCTCAGCCGAGAAATGTTCCAGATTCACCTCCTACCCCGACCCACCTGCCTCTTTGTGGGTCCATACCACCCAGCTACCACTTCAAGAAATCTGGCGCTAGAAAGTTCTTTGCCAAGTTGAAGAGCTTACCCACATCACCTACCTCACACAACCCACCCCCACTACCATCATCTGCTTCTTGTGAGCCCATTAGAACCTCCTCATCACCAGCTCTCAATTTACCCTCTTCACCACCAGTTTTTAATTGCACCCCATTTTTCCCAACGTCATTCTCCTCAAACACCATCGGCCATGACTCCCAGAAACTTCCCCAAGAATGCTTCTTAAATCTCCCTCCTCCGAAATTCCCAAATCGACGGTTTCCCAAGGCAGCAGACGTACACACCCCTACCTCCCCCACCATCATGGAGTCACCTTTAGAACTTGATATCACCAGGTTTCCGCATCGCAGCCAGCTTCGTCCGAGGTAATTTTTGTTGTATACTTGTATGTATGTGGGGAATATTAAATTTTTTATACGGATAAATAGCACAGTGAGATTCACCAGAATAGCAGGTTAAAGAGAGAGGACAGTCTTGGATAGGTCAGGCCAAGGACATTTTGAAACCAGTATTTTCACTTGAAGTCATATCATTTGGTGAGTAATGCGTACGACTGTCAACAGAATATTGAACATCCTTGTCACTCTGGAAAAAACTGAGCAGAGACTGCAGATAACAAAACTCTGTGGTAGTGGTGGAGGCGGAAGTTCAGGCTTTGATTCTTAAGAATTCTGCTGATGGAGGTGCAGTTATTTACACTGAAGAGTCTGTTGTTTGACATGTGCAAAGCTCATGGGCTTCTTTTGTTTTTTCTTTTTGGAGGAAGAACAGTAAAGGAAGTTTTGACAACTGACGGCACCTCTGACAACTTTGATCCTGTTGTGACGAAAATAGCTCTGCCTACTAGAGCAAATGACTTTAATTTTAAAACTAAGGAATGCATGACATCTTACAGTAATCTAATCATTAAGCCAGAAATGACTCCAAAAGAAAGACACACATATGCTATGAAGGAAATGGAGAAGGTTGTCCACGAATTTGAGCTGAGCACAGAAGACTACAAATAATGTGACTCTGTGGCGGTAACAAAACCAGTGCTTTGGCTAGAGACGTATGTATGGTTTCTAAATGATTCCATGAACATGCTTAAGAAGATTGAGACAGGATAGGTTTGAAGACAATGGTTGGAGTCTCTGCGGAAATCTCTTCTGTGAGAAGTCAGTAAAATGTTTGTGCCAGGACACTCTGGGGGTAATGAAAAGGAACAAGCGGATTGGCTTGCTGGCTGGGCCACTAAAGGCACAGGAAAAGCAATTGACTGGCCCGATTTTTTCAAAGCTCTGAAGGAGGCAGGACAAGTAGAGGATTTAGGAGATGGTAAAGAATCGGCAACCTTGACAAGACTATAAAAAGGTCATGTCAGAAGAGTCTGAAGGTTGTGGGTTCAGATCCTGACGGTGCCAGATTTTTTTTTTTTTTTTTTAAAATATGGCCCTTACTTCCAGCTTGACCCAGCCTTAAACAGGTACCAGCTAAAGCCCTGGGAGGTAGAAGTGGCCAGCATGATGCTGCATCATTCAGGTCAAGCCCTATATGCCCAATACACCTAAAGGCATAAAAAAGGGGGTCCTTTTACTCTAATGTAATATTTTGTAAATATCAACTTCATTCTAATATGCATGCATTCATTCGTAAAATTTGTTTATTTTGTTTTCTTAGGTTTTTCGAATATGTAAGCATTCATTCATTCAATTGTTGAATTGTTTTTTTTTGTTTTGTAGCCACACTCTTCTTTAATTTTTTTTTTATAATTCACTCATGTGTCTTTTTGCTCGTTTATAAAATGAATGATTGTTTCTTGTGACCTCTCCATCAGGTGTTAGCTGTCACTAGCTAGCTTATGGAGACTGTCGGAGTTGTGGACAAGAGTTTAAATCTGTGGACCTGCCTAACTTAGCAGTACTTCCACCTGCAGGAATTTAAGTGCATTTACTGTCCTGTTTTTATTACTGATGTTGTCTGCAGTGTTTGACTGATTGATTGGCTTAAAGTCTTTCTTTTTTTCCGCATTGTAAAACTATCCACTAGACCAGTGGTTCTCAACCTTCCTAATGCGGCGACCCTTTAATACAGTTACTAATTTTGTGGCAACCCCCAACCATACAATTATTTTTGTTGCTTCTTCGTAACTTCAGTATGTGTTTTCAAATGGTGTTTGGCGATACCTGTGAAAGGGTTGTTCGACCCACAAAAGGTTCGCGACCCACAGTTTGAGGACTGTTGCTCTTGAGCTTCCAAATACCCCTTCAATTTTATTCGGTCGATAAATCAGTTTGTTTCCTCCAAGCCGTCACCTGAAGGTTTACCTTACTGTGCTGAGATATAAACATCTCAATCTGGATGGCAGACCAAGAAGACGGATCCCCAGATACCCTGTTCAACCTCCGGAGAGGCTGTTTGTTATAAAGCCACCAGTAACAGCTACACCACTCAGGTGTCACCTGCAGTCCGATGTAGGGGAGGGCATAAAGCGGTTCTCAGCTCGGTGCACACACTAGCACTTTCATTGACCCTCAGAATCCAAGCTTACAATAGATAGTTTGTTAATGTGGCTTTTCTGCTTGTGAAATGTGGGCAGGACAGTTGCCGTACAGCCTGTTGCTTTGACTAATCTGCAGCTGAGAGAATGTTAAATAAACATGGGGTACCTATAATTTTTTTGGACTTATCAGGATAGGTTAGGTATCTGTTCCACTATTCTGAAATCAGGATGTGACGTCATGTGTTCCTCAGTTGGTTTTGAGTATAATCCCTTTTTTTAAACGTGAGAGCATTATGGTGGTAAGCCACTCAAATACATCCTAGCTGTATTGACACAGCTGAAAGTGTGTTACCATGTTTTGACAGCCATTAGGAGAACTAGCACATGGTTCTTCATCTTTTGACGACAGTTATGAGGAATGACATGTGTGTCTCCATTATTTGACAGCCATTTGGAGAACTAGCACATGTTTCTCCATCTTTTGAAGACAGTTATGAGGAATGACATGTGTGTCTCCATTATTTGACAGCCATTTGGAGAACTAACACATTTTTCTCCATCTTTTGAAGACAGTTATGAGGAATGACATGTGTGTCTCCATTATTTGACAGCCATTTGGAGAACTAGCGCATGTTTCTCCATCTTTTGAAGACAGTTATGAGGAATGACATGTGTGTCTCCATTATTTGACAGCCATTTGGAGAATTAGCACGTTTCTCCATCTTTCTATGGCCGCTAAGAGTAATGACATGTGTATCTCTATCATTTGACAGCTATTAAGAGATATGACATGTGTGTCTGGATCTTTTCAAGACCCATTGAGATAGCTGTTGTTCTAAGTACATATTTTCACAACCCCTTGAAAGATCCAACATATTTTGCTCCCTATATTTTGACAGCCCATTGGGAGAGCTTGACACGTTAGTCTACATTTTTGACAACCCATTGACAGAGCCTGCAATGTTTGTCTACATTTTTGACAACCCATTGATGGACTTTGCAGTGTTTGTCTACATTTTTGACAACCCATTGGGAGAGCTTGAACGTTTGTCAACATTTTTGACAACCCATTGAGAGATCTTGAAATGTTTTCAACATTTTTGACAACCCCTTGAGAGAGCTTGAAATGCATGTCTACATTTTTGACAACCCATTGAGAGATCTTGAAATGTTTGTCAACATTTTTGACAACCCCTTGAGAGAGCTTGCAGTGTTTGTCTACATTTTTGACAACCCACTGAGAAAGCTGGACATGTCTCTGTACACTTGTGACAACCCATTGAGAGGTACAACATACAAACTAATGACAATCCCACGTAATAAAATAAATGTTTGTAACCTTCAAACATTTCTGAATGTAGTTTCCCTTTATCTCAGCTTTTGCAACCATCACAAATTTATGTACCTAATTTCCCTTGTTCATACAGTGTTCATTCAAAGACAAAACATGGGAAGTGACAAAGCTGAGCTTTACCAGAACTATTGCACATAATATAAGATGTTCTTGCAATTTGCCTTCATCAGCATGCAAATAACAAAAAAATCAAAACAGAATGAAATAACAAAATAAAATGCATAATAATTTGTGCAAAGTGATACATTCCTATGAGTTACTTAATTATTGAATTGTGAATGTTTTTTGCTAAAGGCTTTTTCTGTGATCTTATGTTTTTAACATACTTTTCTCCTGTTTGAAATTTTTTTTTTTTAATACAGGGCATGATTTACTTAATATTCTTTACCTTGCAAATAAATTTACAAATCTGAATCTCCATTTTGATAAGTTTTTGAATCGGATTTTTTTTTTTTTTGAAAGTAAGGTTTTTCAGTTTAATTTGTTTTTTAAAAAAGTAATGTATTGATTAAATTTTAATTATTGACAAATAATGTTCAGTAATGTTGATGCGAACATTACATTGCACAGTTTATTGTCTGGCATATTCTCTAGGTGCACCTGAAAAGATCCAGCCCAAAAAAAGCCAGACAGTAGATTGGGCAGTGTGTTGTTTTTTGTGTCTATATTATTTAAATTTACAATGGGAAAACACTGTTGTGAAATATTTCCACATCTTTTGGAATGTAAACTCTTAATCACCACTGGTTAAAGTAATCTGTAACTTTCACACTTCAAAACTGACAACAATATTTCAGTATTCGTTTACTGCAATGCAATCTTTATCCAACTTTATGTTACTGGTATCAGATTTGGACATGAAACAATTAACAGACTGTGAAATTAGACGTTGTTTGGAAGACAACAAAGAAAATTATAAAACTGTTTGAATAATGCCCATCATTGAATACTTTGAGAAACAAGGACAGATGGTTCAGTCATTGGTAAGAATGAATCCAACGATGCCAGCAGCGAGAAATTACGACATGAGAATGGAAATACTTAGAGGTAGAAGAAGACCAGGAGGAATATGGTTTGAAGAAGTCACTCACAGCCTGAGACTTCAGAAAATCACAGTATACCGGAGTTAGAATCCTGTGGATATTTTCTCCAGTTATGCAGGTGTGTTGGGAAATGAGCAGGCAGATAGACTGGCCAGCTCTGCACCATTTGGTAGTGAGTTGATCTATGGCAAGCTAGATATTGTGAGGGCCCTTTGGGATTGTGTGAACGGTGCGGAGGCATAGATGGATTATTACGGGCTGAGGAGAATGACGCTGCGAGCAGTTACCAGGGGATCTGGCTGACACTCAACAGTCAGGGGAAGGAGGAGGCGGATATACAATCAGATGGTTACTGGTGCCAGTTTTATTGGAACTCCTCACTTGCTGCTGAAGATGGGGATGGAGCACTTATGGGAGTGTCTAGAGTGCTGGGATGACGATTCTTAATTCAACATTCAACCATATACAGGGTCTTCTCGACTTGCAAGAGGACCTAAGTCGAAATGGCCATAAGTTGATTTTATATTTTGTTGTTGACACTATTTTATTCAAACGGGTTTTAAAATTGTACATAAAACACAACTGTTTAATCTGTGTATGAATAATTATTGTACTAAGGCATCTGTGTACACGCTACAAATTGGTTCTTAGAAACTGCTGACCCTATCAATATAGTTATCTTTCTAAATTTACTTTTTTTGTGTTTGGTCTTGAGTGTGGATGGTCATGTCACATGGGACGTAAGACCCAGGAGAAGTGTGCTAAACAAACAAGCAAACTGCTGTTATTGGAGTTGAAACATTTCAAGTTTGGTATTAGTTTTGATTTCCTTGTGCTTCCACAAATGTCCTAGTGGCAAACTCCTGAATGTAAAAATTGACGGATAAAACCACAAACAAATGCAGAGAGTTGGTTTGCAATGTCCTGTTAAGGATATGCAGCTAATTGTGCTCTCTTGAGTGACAATCTCTCTACAGAAAGAGATGTTTAAATCCCAAGGTAGTGAATTCAGTTTTCTAATCTTTAAATTTTTTTTAAAAACATTTTGATCTGTGCATGTGATTTCTTCCACCTCTAAACTTTTGTGATAAGCAGGGTTCAAACACTTTTTATGTGTATGGATATGGATACTTACTTTTGCCCATTTTTGTGCATTTTCATATTGAATGTAAGACTTCAAGACATTTTTCATGATTCTGTCCTTTGAAATAAAAGATTTAATGTACAGTTTTGTGTTCAGTTCAAAAGTAATTTTGCAAAATAGGTTTGATTAAAGTTAAACATCGAGAAGATCAGCTTCATTGCACTCGGTTTTATCCAGTCTGTTTGAATTGTGCAGGGTTTTTATCCAGTCTGTCTTGATTGTGCTGGGTTTTTATCCAGTCTGTTTTGATTGTGCCTGGTTTTATCCAGTCTGCCTTGATTGTGCTGGGATTTATCCCGTCTGTGTCGACTGTGCTCGGTTATATCCAGTCTGTGTCGACTGTGCTCGGTTTATCCAGTCTGTGTCAATTGTGCTGGGTTTTATCCCGTCTGTCTGTATTGTGCTGGGTTTTATCCAGTCTGTCTGTATTGTGCTGGATTTGATCCCATCTGTCTGTATTGTGCTGGGTTTGATCCCGTCTGTCTAGTTGTGCTGGGTTTGATCCCATCTGTCTGGATTGTGCTAGGTTTTATACAGTCTGTTTTAATTGTGCTGGGTTTTTATCCAGTCTGTTTTAATTGTGCCTGGTTTTATCCAGTCTGTCTGGACTGTGCTGGGATTTATCCCGTCTGTGTTGATTGTGCTGGGTTTTGTCCAGTCTGTGTATTGTGCTGGGTTTGATCCCATCTGTCTATATTGTGCTGGGTTTGATCCCATCTGTCTGGATTGTGCTAGGTTTTATACAGTCTGTTTTGATTGTGCTGGGTTTTTGACCAGTCTGTTTTGATTGTGCCTGGTTTTATCCGGTCTGTCTGGATTGTGCTGGGATTTATCCCGTCTGTGTCGACTGTTCTGGGTTTTATCCAGTGTTTTGATTGTGCCTGGTTTTATCCAGTCTGTCTGGATTGTGCTGGGATTTATCCCGTCTGTGTCGATTGTGCTCGGTTATATCCAGTCTGTGTCGACTGTGCTCGGTTTATCCAGTCTGTGTCAATTGTGCTGGGTTTTATCCCGTCTGTCTGTATTGTGCTGGGTTTGATCCCATCTGTCTATTGTGCTAGATTTAATCCAGTCTGTCGACTGCGCAGGGTTTATCCAGTCTGCCTCGACTGTGCTGTTACATCCAGTCTGTCTCCACTGGTGGGCCGTAAAACTTTTTTCTCCGTTTTGCTGGGGCACAGGCCTAAACAGACTGAGAAACCCTGCTCTGGGTGAGGATATCACTTCATTGATGCGTTCTGGCTCTACTGCAGAAGGTTCTCATGCACCTAAAAGCCTAGTGTATCAACACTTGATTATACTGCTGAATCAATAAAATATCTTCTTTTTCTTCGCTTTCGTCCACATCCTAGTACTGCACAAGGGGAGCCTAGAAACGAGAAATATGATAATTCTCCTGTTTAATGTTGCTTTTACATGCACTCGAAATGCAGTTAAAACTGGCATGTTTGTTTAAAGCCGTGTGACTATTATGCCAACACATTGACACGTCAAGCATTGGATAACTGTAGAGTTTGGGACTTCGCATGTTTCTGGAGTAATATACCTGTGTTTATCCAGAAAAAGTCGAACTAATTCTTTATTACCTACAAAGATAGTAAATCAAATGGTTTGCCCACTTAAAGACAATTACTTGTGACGTCATATCGAACAGCCATGCACGAAAAAAACAACGAAAATGGACGTTGATCACCAGGTAGACCAAAAACAAGAAGTTGAGATAACTGGAGAAAACGTATGAGTATCTATGGTCGAGGCGGCCAGAAAAGTAGGAAGTAGAACCTCTCTTGGCACCAGAAGCGTTAAAAAAATAATAATAATTAGGAAGCGGAGAAGAGAAGATAAAGAAAAAGAGAGAGTATAGAGTTGTTAAGATATTCTATGAGCATTTCTAATACTTTCATTAAGTTGATCTTCAGTGGGTTATTCTCGAAGGGAACAACTTTAGAACATTATTTAATTAACTGCTTTTTGCGGAGGAACATTCTATTCATGCAACCGTAGCACAAAAGGATATCCTCCGAATAACGGGCAGGAAAGATGGCGGCCGCAAAATATCCTTTCGAGCCACAGTCATGTGTTGTAAACATTCAAAAATTGAAGTCAAAACTAACTAATAAGGAACGAAAAAAATGTTATATCAAACAAGGCGCGGGTCGTACCAGATTGGTAACGCAGTTTTCTCTTTAGTAGCCAAAAACAGGGCCCCAGTCACGTGTCAATTGCGCACTTCCGGCGACTTAATTTGCTCTTTTCCGGCGACTACCGCCACCGCCGAAAGTGGCCCACACTCACGCGGCGTGGATTGGGGCTAATCTAGATGGCTAGGACTCACGAGCAAAGCTGCAGGAGATGCGGAAGCTGCTGCTCGTGGGTCCCAGTCATCTAGTTTAGCCCCATCCGCGGCGCGGGGGAGACTCTCGGCGGCGAGTTTAACTCGGCGGTTTGTTCCGTTTCTCGAAATTGTCAACAGAGACTAATCTTAGTTTTCCCGCGATGTGCTCGTGACCGCAAGTGCGCAGTTGTGCGAAAGGATATTTTCGCGACCGCTAGTGCGCAGCTTGACAAATGACTGTGGCTCGAAAGGATATAAATTTGCGTGTGGGCCGCCCCATGGGGAAAACTAGACCCCTGACCGTTAATTGTAGCTTCCTTTGAATAGCCGCACACAAAATATAGACTATGATATAAAAATTAACCTAGACAAAACAGAAGTGACGACTTTCACCTGAGAAGGAAGAGCCGACAATATTAGAATTGATAAATATTAGTTAAAGCAAGCGAAGGACTTTACATGTCTAAGGAACATATATTCAGAAAATGGAAGAATGAATTAGGAAATGAACAAAGAGACAATGAAACCGATCAAGTTAACGGACAAATGGCATTAATTTTGAAATGCAAGCAGGTGAATTTGAACACTAAACGAGCATTGGTAAACATGATATTCTTACATACGCTTTGCTGTCAGTGCCAAACATCGACACTGTCTTCAGAAGACAGAAGAAAATAATCACAACAGAAATGAAATTTGTAAGTATAACTAGATGTAACTAGGAAAGATCGACTTAGGAACGCTGATATCAGGAGCAGAGTTGGCACAGAACCAATGCTGATCTTTATAGGTACACAACAAATCAGATGGTTTGGTCATGTAACAAGATTGGCAGTAGACAGGGCACCACAGAGAGCAATGTTATACAGATACATTGGTAGACAGAGGTGGACCACGCAGAAATAGACCACAGAAAAATCAGAGACACTGAAAAATACTATATATATAAAGCGAACAGAAGGGCCCTTTCTAGTGATTTCTTCCTGCCCTGACGCCGCGAGGCATTCCAGGAGTAGAGAGAAGAAGAAAGAAGAAGACTCATGCATAGATATTGTTTGGAAAGCACTTCGCATGTACAGCGATGCATGTTGATTAGCTTCATAGCCTATACAGCATACAATGAAACATCCATAACTAATGGGAGGAACATGCTGGACCTGACTGCCTGAGCAATGCATGTGAAACGCGTGCAGTTTCATCTTTTTGACAGATCCCTTTACCCAGTTAACTGCAAGCATGGTGACTGCGTTGAATCAGTGTCTATTTATTCATACACTGGAAATAAAAAGAAATTAAAACTTTATGTTTCTTTCCACAATTAAGATCGGTTAACCAGGTCATCATCATCATCATGTAGCAGGTCCGTTTGCAGAACGTTGCTCTCATCACAGTAAGCCTGAGAGAAACTCGGTCTCTTGCCAGTTCTCCCGCCTCATGTGCTTTCATACCCAAGGAGTCACTTATATCCTGCGCCCATCTTCGTGTCGGTCGGCCCCTGCTCCTCCTTCCTGGTGCCATGCCTTCTGCTATAATTTTTTTTCCAATCTGTCGTGGCGCATGATATGACCAAAATATTTCAGCTTTCGAGACAGGATGCTGTTTATTAGCCAATCTTCCTTGATGTTCAGATCTTTTAAGATGTCAGTATTTCTCATCTTCTTTTTCCAAGATACTCTGAGAATTCCAGTTACCCAGTTACTGGTTTTTAAAGTCGGCCCATACTTCTGGAACGGACTATACCTGATAAAGCTACAAACACTTAGTTGTGCTAGTAGTAATTCATACTTATATAGAGTGTGCACATGTGTTTGTCTCTCTTTCCCCTCTCAATTTATGCTTTCTAATCTTTCCGCGTTAACGCAGTCGATTAGAGACTCGCTTTCAAATTAAAGCTGCGACTCGCTGCAGCCCACGGCCGGTGTTCGAAACCGGGCGGTTCCCGGGGTTCACCCAGCCTCTGGGTAATGGGTACCAGAGTTAAGACTCTTGAGTAAATGGAGGAACGTCGCTGTAGCTACGGAGTCGCTGCAGACGGCGACACAGGCGGACAGTTTTTAATCAGCCGTTCCGTACTGTGGCCAAGCACTTATTGGTTTATAACCGTGTGCAATGACACTGGTTCACATCTCCCGACTTAACCATTACTTTTGATCTCCTCTCTCTCTCTCTCTCTCTCTCTCTCTCTCTCTCTCTCTCTCTCTCTCTCTCTCTCTCTCTCTCTCTCTTTCTCTGTGTGTGTGTGTGTATGTATATATATATATATATATATATATATATATATATATATATATATATATATATATATATATACAATATACATATTTTAATGTGTTTGTGTGTCTGGTAGGTAGCTCCAACGTTATGATAATTTATATGGCTCTATGATGGAATGTAGGAAGTCCGCGATTGTTGACAGTTTAAGCTCTATTGTGATCGCTGGGTAACCGAAACTGCGCCTGTTTGAAAAGTTACACAAGAAGACACATAAAAAGTAGAATCTCCGTTTATCTACTGCGTCCCGCCAAGATATCTGTGCACTATCAGTTAGCTCTCTGGGAACCAGGAACACTTGATCAGTCCGCCAGCGGTTGGCCCCTGTTGTCTGAGAGACTGTGTTCAATGTCGAGAGATAACTGATGCAGTGGTAAGTAAAATTTTTTTTTAATTCAATGAAAGTGAAATTATTTTCTATGACGAGTGTCTAACCTAACGATCTCGTTACTCAAACCCTTACCAGACTGCATATGAGACTTTTTATAGTAGAACATCTGGAAAGAAGGCAAGAGGGAGACCAAGAAATAGATGGATGAATGGTGTAGCTGAAAAATATAACTATATGTATCCTAGTCATCTCCTTGTGAGATGCACTTTTTCGTTATTTGAAGCCCTGGCTCTTTCCAGGGGCTGCTATATAGCTCAGACATAAATATGGTCTAATGGCTGAACGCGGTTTCTGGGACCTCTCCACGGGTGATCCTCACCCACATGGTGGCATTTTGTGTCATCTGGTGTTTATCGCTTGTGTGATGTCCTGGTGGGGTAAAAACCTACTATTACTATTGTAGCTGAAACCTGTAATAAGGTGAACAAATCCATCATCCAAGACACCTGAGAAGCGCAAGACAACACTATCATACCATTTATAGTGCGGAAGAGTGCTTTCGAACATACGTGTATATGACAACATATATGTACTTGAGAACAATGTTTTATGTCTGTACATAATTCACCACACCGTAATAATAATAATAATAATAATAATAATAATAATAATAATAATAATAATAATAATAATAATAATAATAATAATAATAATAACAATTTTTAGTAGTATTGCTTTTTTTGCGAAATCAAACATAGGAAATTATAAGAAACCACCCCCCCCCCCCCCCCCTAGGAAATTATAAGAAAACCACTAGGAAATTATAAGAAAACCACTAGGAAATTAAAAAACTACTATCAGAGAACCACTTGGAAATTATAAGAAAGTTAATAGAAAATTTTTAAACAACCACTAGGAAATTAAAAGAGAACATCTAAAAAATTATAAGAGAACCACTAGGACATTTTAAGAGAATCACTAGGAGATTATAAGAGAACCACTAGGAAATTGATAAAGAGAAAAGCTAGGAAATTATAAGAAAACCACTAGGAAATTATAAGAGAACCACTAGGAAATTGAAAGAGAACAGCTAGGAAATTATAAGAAAACCACTAGGAAATTATAAGAAAACCACTAGGAAATTATAAGAGAACTACTAGGAAATTGAAAAAGAACAACTAGGAAATTATAAGAGAGCCACAAATAAATTACACCGTGTGTTTATCGCTTGTGTGATGTCCTGGTGGGGTACAACTTACCCATCTACCGCTCCTGTGGCCACGTGAAGGATGACCGTTCAGGTAAATGGTCCTTCTTCAGAATTTTTCGTTCAGTGGGAATTAACACATCAAGGATGAGAATCAAGAAGGAGACAATTGCAGAAAGCGCCCTCAACCATGTTACATTTACGTTAGGGCTCTTCGATGTTCACAAAGTAGTGTAGCGGCTAGAGTCTCGGCTGCGAAACTGGGTTCAGATTCTAAGGGAGCTATACTTTTTTTTTTTTTTTTTTAAATGAAGTCAAAGTCTGGGAAGTAAAAGACATGGTGACAACATCACCCATCAAGTACCGACTGGTCTATAAAATATAGATCTAACCCAACATGCCCAAAACGCCAGAAAAGCGTGGGAAAGTTTCCATTTATGCTTACGAAATAATTTGCAGTTAAATGTTGGGTTGGGAAAGTTAGCGTCCCTTGTTAGCCATACGACAAAAGAACATCCAGATTTTTTGTCGAGGAGCGGCTGGCCAAACGATTTGAACACTGGACTCTCCAGTTTTCACTAAGGCAGGGAATTTTTTTTTTTTTTTTTTTCCGTAGAAGGCCCCAAAAAAAAAAATCCTCACCTGCACAGTCCGTGACGACAGCACTAGCCATGCGGTCGTAAATCCCCGGGCTTAAAGATACCCCCCCGCCGACACCACAAAAGTTGT